TTGGAAGAATTTTAGGGGCGGCCAGACCAAAACAAGGCACAAATCCATGAAGTCACTGACATGTGGACTGAGTCATTTCGGTAGGTGTAGACTACCTAGTTCAGATCTGCGAGACTATAGCAACCGATGGTTAGAGACCTTGAATCAAATGGCTCAAAATCGATTACAGTGGCACAGGTGCATTCACTCTTTGTATTCTTGCACATTCTAATCTTCTGAATTCTTCATGTTCCTTCCTTTTTTCTCTTTCTGAATTTATTTCACTAGATTATACTCTTTAAATAACATCTCCGAACCCTAATGTTTCCGATCACTGCTTATACTTTTACTACCTCTACCACTATGGGATTTGAATGGACAACTGCATCTCTGTTCTCATGTTGTATGGCAACTCGAACTGATGTACTTGCGTACGTACGTACGTACGTACAAAGCTCCACGTTGTTGCTGACTGATTGATATAAGTACCACACATTACAATATTATTCATTTTGATTATTATCTAAATAAGAAAACTGAATTATACAAAATAAAACGTGATTACATTTTTTCAATCAATTTCGTTGTTGTTGTCGTCGTCGTCATCGTCGTTGTTGTTGTTGTCGGTGTTGTTGTTGTTGTTTTTATTGAAGCTGATTAATAAAATATACAATTTACTATTACCTTAGTTATAGTTAATAATAAACATTTCCGTTGACAAGTAATAAACTATGGAATTAATGATATTAAACTTATAACCACACCCGTATAAATGAGTCATATTGTTGTTAGGAGTAATTATTATCAGGTAAAGTAAGTAAACTATATTTATGTATTCAGTTTTGTTTTCTGGAATTGATATCCTTTATTTATACAAATGATAAAATCATAAAGTATGGAAGGTCTTTGAGCTACGGTAAATTAAACTTGTGAATGTTCATCTACCAACTAGAACTAAATGAGAGTTATAGATCTGTGGGAAGGATAAGGTTCATGATATGCAATTGATGGTTGGAACTAAGAATCAGATCTAAGGCTTTTTGTTGTTGTTGTTGTTGTTGATGAACTAATATCAGCTATCATGACAAAAAAATGGTATTTAGTCAAATGAATGAGTGAATTTCGTGTCAAAATCTAAGATCTGTGTTATGTCCCGACAAGAATAATGAATGGTAACTTTTCGGATCCTTTTTATGGACCAATACTAAACGTATATTTCTATCGTATCGTTGTTAAATAACTAAACTATTCATATTTCTCTTATTATAAGCTTTATTTTGATCTATGAACCATTATTATACATTTTACCATTCTTGAATTATACCCTGTCTATTAGTCACTGCCTCTCTCATTGACAGCCACATCTGGCTAATTCTTGTACAAATGTTGTTTCATATTTTATTGGTACGTTATGGTCTGTTTGATTGGTATATAAACTCAGTATGTTTGAAATATGAGGATTCATATTGTAGAGGCTGAGATTGGTGTTCTGGACTTAACAGGCACGACTAGGCTGAAAGCAGGACCAATCAGGACTCTAGGCTGCTCGCACGTGTTTTACGCATCCTTGGTCCGATCGATAATTTCATACTTCTGATTGGCGGCTTTGGGCTATAACAATTAGCGACGAGGATGGGATTCGAACCCACGCGAGAAGCCCCAATGGATTGAAGGCTGCAGATGAGAATGAAAGGTTTAAATTGATCTTCACTAAGCGACTTCAACCAGAAGCGTTCGCATTCTCGGTTAACGATACCCACATGTGTGAGAAAATCAGCATCTTCGTTTATAGTGAGCTTCACTATCTAACTTCAAATAATTCATGATATTGCACCACCGTTCGTGTGCGAGATTGAAGGTACTGGGTTCAAATCCCGTATGCGGGATCGTGGATACGTACTGTTCGGGATAGTTCACTGAACCATAGATAAAAAAATTTGACTGAAATAGGGTCTTACAATTGGTAAACATATCTTGATTAGTGTAGATTAGTTCATTGAAGACTGAGATCATATTCAAGTTTTAATGAGAACAATGAGTCACAATGTTTAATCCTTCATCTTTGTACTGCTCACTAATTTGTGAATGATAAATTTTCTCAGTTTCAGGATGATTTAAATTATTAATTAGAATGAATTCATAAAGACGTATCATTTAAGTAGAACTTTGATTCCATGCTAATTCCCTAGTGAATTGTATTTAATATGTTCATTTACTGATTCAGATATAGGTGTGGAATATTAAGATGCTCCAAATTAAGTCTAATCAAGCTGTCTAATCAACAAAAATTTCAAGCTATACGCAAAGATGGATGGTGGCTAGCAGTGAAATTTAGGATGCTCGTTTCATCTTATTTTGTGACTCATCAGTTGTATGTACCTCCATCGAAAAATTGATGTTCACTTCTTCACACGAACTAAAGATAAAGAGTTGGTTATTCTGACTCATGATGCCGGCAAGTTCAGTAGCTTAAAGGTTACAGGTTTGCACTTCAGACCGATAGATCCTGGGTCCGAATCTCGCGAAGCGGGATCGTGGATTCGTACTGCTGAAGAGATCCGTGATAGGACGAAACGACCATCCAGTATTTCCAGGTTTTCCATGATGGTCTGTATATGACTATTTCATATGAAAAATTTAGCTAAACAAGAACAAATTATCATTCAGAGATTAAATGACATGAAATTTTCAATTCTTTAATCAATCTTACATTTATCTATACATTTGTATATGTTGATATGTGTTATAACTAAGCAAACATTTACACTACTTACTTACTTACTTACACCTGTTACCCACAATGAAGCACAGACCGTCGACTAGCATTCTCCAACCTAATCACTTGTCTGGACCTTCCTTTCTACTTCTATCCAATTGTTGTTCATTTTTCTCATGTCTATTTCCATTTCTCGGCGTAATGTGTCCTTCGATCTTCCTCTTCTCCTTTGGTCTTGAGGATTTCATGTGAGGGTTTTCCTTATGACGCAGTTGGATGCATTCCTCAATGTGTGTCTTATCCACTTCCATCACTTCTTCCTGGTTTCTTCCTCCGTTGGGAACACTACTTACTTAGATCAATTTCAATGAAGTTGACATGTTCTTGATTTGTCAAACGATCTATTTTCTGTTTATCCTATCAGTTTCCTTTATTGACATGATAGTTTGTTTAAAGAAGAAACTGTTTACCACAACGAAATAACGCAAACAGTGATAAACAATACATGGATATGTACAGAAATAACTGAATATATATGTATGTATGTATGTTTGGTGTGTGTGTGTGAACCAACATAAAACGTTCCAGTATATCAGAGTAGTATTCTAATTATCTTGTCTGAATATCAAAGTAGATATTAAGAACAATCTATATCTGAAACTTAAAAGAAGAAAAAAAAGATAGGAAAAAGTAATTATCATAATGGAAGATATTAAAAGGCAATACATGTTTGAATATGTTGTTATTCCCTAGTGTTGGATATAAGAAGAAAGAGCATTGAATTCAAATTCACTTAGTGTTGTGTTTATTTGTATCTTCCAATTGTTGTTTAGAATGTTATATGTTCATCCTGTACGGATTGCCTAAAGATTAATATTAAGTTACAAGCATTTTAAGCAAAGATAGATAGTGGCTAGTAGTGGAATCCAGTTTGATATGCGTTTCGTCCTATAAGAGACTCGTCAACTGGATGTACCTGTTGGGTTCGAGTCTAGGGGTGAATATCAATAATATTTACTAATTTCTTTAATAAGTCTAAACTGCTACTCATCATTCAATGTTAATAACTTATCATTAACATCTAAAGTTTTATTGAAAAGGGTAACAAATAATTGCCATTTTTTGTTTTTTCATTCATTAATCTTCAGAGATTTACTTTCATGAGGGCTGTTAAAATTATTAATTTGCATTCAAATCATAAACCAATCCATGTTAAACCATCATTAAATACCTGAAAGTACTAGATTGCCATTTTGTCCTAGTATGTGACTCTTTAGCATTTCACACATTCACCATCTCACACACACACAAGAATCGAACCCAGGTCGTTGAGTCTGAAGCGCGGATGTTTAACACCCAAACAGACCATTGAGCAAGGATTCAACACTTTCCATTATTTAATCCAAACGATTTATAATATTAGATGATCATCTTCAATAGTTGTCTAACATTGATTAAATCGCAAGTGATTGATCAAGGGGTAGTGATCAGTCATGTGTGTCAAGTCCTTCTTAGTGCCGATTGAATCCTATCGACCAAGTTGCAGTGCTGCCACTAGTCAAGTTGACTCGGTATTTCGCGCACTATGTTGAAATAAGATGTTGGTTGAAGGTAGTCAATAGCAAACCTGGACCCGGGTTTCGTGCTATTCGGCACTCGCCAGTAGGGTGTACCTGTAATCTTGAGAGAACTGGTGCCCCTGGCGGACTCGATCTCGTGCCACCCAGCTTCACATTCATAGACGTTACCACTGAGCTATCCGAGCCGCGACCAACCTCCTGTAGGACTGAGATGTAATCACAATTGATTGATCACTGGGTGGTGACCAATGTCATGCTTGTCTAGTCCTTATTAGTGCAGATTAGATGCTATCGATCATGTTGCTATGTGGCCACCAGTCTAGGTGACTCGACACTGCGGGCACTATATATTGAGATTTAGATGGTGGTTGGAGGTCATCAACAGGAAACCCTGGACCCGTGTTTTGTGCTATTTGGCAGTCGCCAGTAGGGTGTACCTATAATCTTGAGGGAATAGATTCTCCAGACTGATTCTATCCCGTGTTACACAGCTTCACATTCATAGACGTTACCACTAGACTATCCGTCACGCGACTGACCTCCTATAGGAATGAGATGTATTCACAATTTTTAGGTGATCAATGTCATCTATGTCAAGTTCTTCTTAGTGTAGATCAAATACTATTGATTAATTCATGATTTCAATAAGATCATATCAAATCGATCATAGAATATGTATTTACTTGTCTCTTTTCTTTTTCTTCTTCTTTTTTTTTCCTATTCAGTTTTGTAAATTAAATAGTGATACACCAGATTCTGTATTACGTGATATTCTTAAACGTAAATGGGGTTTAAAACCACCTACATTAATTATAACTGTATTCGGGACAGATTTTGAAAAGAAACGTAAATTAAAAATGATCTTTAAAAAAGGTTTATGGAAAGCAGCTGAAAGTGGTAAGTCAATACAATCTATATTATAAAATGTATCAGATAGAGAGAGGAGGGAGGTTGTGAAGATTGTAGTCATTTTAATAATTAAATTTTATGAATTAGTTGAAGTTGGATCACTATGGAAAAGCTGGAAGTACTGGATAGTTGCTTCATCCTAGTATAATGGTACTCAGCAGTGCGACATCCACGATCCCGTTCACTGAAGACAATGATGGACGGTGTCCCAATTTTGTGGATTGGTTGGAAGTTAGACATTAACATCATTGAGTACCGGTTCAGTGTTCTCACGAGGCGGGATCATGGATGCACTCTGCCAAGGAGACCCATACTAGGACGAAATAAACATCATTATTTAATTAGTTATTCGAGATATATTTTGTATTATACCATTTGTTATTTATTTATTTGGACATAAATATTGGCACAAAGGGAAACTGAATACATACGCATCACAAAAGTCACTTGATTTGTATGTAGGATGTGATGGTGCCCAGGTGCCCAAACCGAAACAGGTAGTTTTCTTATGGGGTCACACCCGGAGTCTTCGATCTAAAGGTCCGACCAACAAGTCAATGGAGGAATGTAAAGAGATGCAGTCCCATGGTAGTTGGTGACCAATAAATAATTCATAAGTCATGTGTTTCTTCAGGATCCTGGTTTCCATGTGCACCATTGATTTGGAATCAAGGTTTTCCAACTCCCCTCCTAGGTGGACTCTCCATATCCACCAACCCGGTGAAAGTGTTAGACATTCGCTTTTCCTTCTCTCCATTTCATAAATAATAATAATAACGCGAGAAGATAGTGAGTAGGACTTCCCTTACAGTGGCTGTATACGCATGGCAATGTGAGAGCATTTTGAGTGGAACAGAGGACTCTTCACATCCTCGACCGTACCAGAGCATTTGGGGGCACATACCATATGTTTAATTCTGAGTTAGATTCTTTTAAACTGATTGAAATCATTAAAAGGTTCATTGTAAAACAACACGTGTTGAAAGAGTATTTCTCAATTGATTGGAATTTCATATCAGTAATACTTCAGAGAATTAAAACTTAGCTTAACATATTTCACAATGAGTACTACATTGTTCGCGGTTATATTGTATTGGAAAAATGTTTTAAGACATAGATCAGTTCAATTAAACTTGTATTTTATGTGTTGTTCATCGTTGCTGAGCCGTTGTAAGGAAAAAAAGGTTGTACCATCAAAGGATACAATTTTTTCATTATTGTCTAGTAAGGATTTTTTGATCTTCACTGACCAGTGCATAGAATAATCATATACTTCGACTAGATCTTTCAATATTCTATTCTATTCTTTGGAGTTCCAACGAATGACAACGTTTGTTGTAAAGACTGTTCAGGTTTTGATATGGTGGAGAAAATTTGTAGTTCAGGTGGATGATTTTGGTAGAGTTTTGTTTTAGGCTGGATGGTTTGGTTGTGGAGCTTTCATCGCTCTTTTGAACGATATCATCAGCACAAAGCGCACACCCTCGTCGTCTTCGCCTGCATGAACACCAATTAGCAGTCAAACGCCATGCGATTTCCTCAGTTATATCAATGCATATGGACAACTGGTTAGTGTTCTTTTAGGGAGATAGTATTTTACGGGTTGGGTCACTAACCCATGCCTAACCCTCCACTTTTATCCGAGCTTTGGACCGGCAGTAGCCCTGGAGGAGCTCCAAGTGGAGTTCTATCGCACACGCAACAACAAATGAAGGAGAAAACGACCAGGCTGGCAGCAGCCTCAACGGTAGTAGATCTCAACATACACAAAGGAAAAAGCAAGATTCTCCGATAGAACACAGCATGCACCAATCCAATCACAATTGACGGAGAAGATTTGAAAGATGTAAAAACCTTTACATATTTAGGCAACATCATTGATGAACACGGTGGATCTGATGCAGATGTGAAGGCGTGGATTGGCAAAGCAAGAACGGCATATTTACAACAGAAGAACATCTGGAACTTAAAACGACTATCAACTAACACCAAGGTCAGAATTTTCAATACAAATATCCAGACAGTTCTACTGTACGGGGCGGAAACTTGGAGAACTACGAAAGCCATCATCCAGAAGATACAGGTGTTTGTTAACAAGTTGTCTAAGCAAAATACTTCGGATACGTTGACCAGACACTGACTGCAACAACCTACTGTGGGGGAAAACAAACCAAAACCAGAAAGCAGCGTTGAAAGTGGATAGAACACACATTGAGGAAAGCACCAAACTGCGCCACAAAGCAAGCCCTCACATGGAATCCTCAATGCCGAAGGAGACAAGGAAGACCAAAGAACACGTTACGCCGAGAAATGGAAACAGACATGAGAAAAATTAACAACAATTGGATAGAACTATGATGGAAGGTCCAGGACAGAGTGATTTGGTTGGAGAATTCTGGTCGATGGTCTATGTTCCATTGGTGGTGGTGGGGGGTAACAAGCGTAAGGAAGTAAGTAACGTGAACAACTGAGGACACTTATTTGACTATAAAATGCGGGAATCTTGGATAGATGAAATTTCAAAAACACCAGATAAGTTTTGAGGGCTTGGTATTCAGGTTAATCAGTAATCAACATGCACAATGAAATCGATCCAATTTACCAACCAATCAGGAAACTTGTGCACAAACATAGGAACAAAAATCAAACTAATGGGAGATACAGTCAAAACAAGGAAGTAAACAATGACAGTTTTAGGATCAACAAGAACCAATCAACATCGAGGTCTACAGGATAAGCTGTGAACCACATGTGGAGAAATTCGAACACTTCACTTCTATCTGAAGTTTGTGCTGATGATGTCGTTTAGAAGAACAATTAAAGCTCCACGACCAAACTATCCAGCTCAGAGAACAAAACTCCATCAAAAAGAAACTAATCAAATCGTATAGTTTTATTCTAATCATTTCTACAGATTTTATCATCAGTAGTTTTAATCTGTCGTTATTGTTATTAAATTGATCATTAACCTTTATTTGACGACACTACTATACATTTTGTTGAACCAGCTGGAACTATGAAAATGTTCATTTCTTTTTCCCAATGATTTCAGCTATTAAAGTCAAGTTCCCTACACTTCAACTGAATTAAACCGATTACATAATCATAACATTCAAGAATCTTTTTGCTTAAAAAGCTTGTAAAATAAGGCAATAATGGAGGCAATCCGTGCAGGATTTATATATGCCAATAAGAGACTGATCAATTACAGTTCTTAACAACAATAGGGATATACAAGTAAACAATACCAAATGGAATTCAACCAGGTCAGTTGTGAGGTAATAGCCCACTGATGACAATGGTGAATGTGTCGCTCAATTTCGTGGATTACTTGAAGTTAGACATTGACACCTTTTGATACCGGCCGGCTCAGTGGTCTAGTTGGTTAAGTGCCTGGCGTGAGACTGGTAGGTCCTGAGTTCCAATCCTGCTAGGCGAGGTCGTGGATGCGCACTGCTGAAGAGTCTCATACTAGGACGAAACGGCTGTCCAGTGCTTTCAGGTTTTTCATGATGGTCTAGCTTCAATTGACTCATGATATCAATTGTTTGAGTTACTACAATCTCCACAAAACCCCTTTCGAATACCAAATGAATCTAAGAATATTCATTTCATAAAATCGAATGAAAAACAAACAAACAAACATGACACACTAGCAATTCTGTGATACAGATACATCCAGCTGACAAGTCTCAAATAGGACGAAGTGACATGTATCAAACTAGACTCCATTACTAGCCATTTATTCATCTTTACTATAAACATGACACATTGTTTATAAATTCACCATTATATTTTCTTCAATAATAATGTATTTTAATCATAAACTAATTAGTAGTAAATTATGGATGGCTCCAATAGAATAGCTCATTTTTAGTTACCAGGAGGTCTACGTCTACATCTATGTATCTATGCCTATGTATTATATATTTACATAAATGTGCATTAATTCTGGCATAGAGTTTTTTTTCGGGTTGTTGCTTTAAGTAATCTATTAAAACTACAAAAAAAAAGTAGTTGATAGGAAACAACAACAAAAATCACTTCCGTTTATTGATTTAATCTGGAGAGGCGAGACTCTAATTTATGAACGAACCAATCAGGTGTAAGATAACAAGTCTGAAATTTTTGACGCGAAATTCATTTATCCATTTTTTAAAAATAAACTTTTTGTATTATAGTTAATGTCAGTTCATGATGAAAACCGTTAAATCTAATTCTTCACCTTAATCATCAAATGTAAATCACAATTCTAATTCCTTAAACTGGTTTATAACCCTTATTTAGTCCTAGTTACTAGGTGAACGCTTCCAAAGATCGTCCATGAATTATAGTATCATGCCTGAGGATTATTCTCATTGAATATTATTGATTTATCCAGTAAAATAATGGAGAACATATTTTACAAATCAAATCAACATAGAGATATTTCAGTTTTTGTGTGTTGAGGGAGAGACCAGAAGGGCTATGAAAATGCTGGAAAACATTTTATTCCATTCGTAGTAAATAGACGTTTTTCAGAGACATCTAGAAAGTGAAAAGTCACGTATGACATTTCTGATTAGATCATTATATATCCTGTTACTATGTTGAATAGGGTTTCAGGTGTTTCCAGAAGATCAAGGCTATCTGAAATACTGTAAATTTCTCCGATTGCCTGTACATAAACTAACCATAGGGTAAAGCATTCTTTTCATATTTCGCATCTTTTCTCTGATGTTCACATTGTTGTGTAGATTTAGCTTTGGGTTACTAGAAGAAATTGATTCAAGCATTCAATCAGAAGATTTATTAATATGATAGAATGTGATACAATTCAGAATATACTAATCTTGTAATGAGTATTAAGTTAGGACCTTCATTTATTTTATTGTTTTGGTCAATCAATATTCAGTGTCATTGTTGAAAGGTGATTCTATTTACTTTTAGTTTAACTTCAAACTATACACTAATGGACTTGATATGATATCAATATTGATGTTAACAGC